CTTACTTTCTGATCGAACCCTTGTTTTATGTGGAGCAGTGTAGTACTCAGCTAAGTGTCTGTATGCCCCAGCCTCCTTCACATCTGGGGGTGGCCAAAGAGATAAAAGCAGAGTTGTTGAGGGGGGCTTTGGGGATTATCTTTTCAGCAGAGCTGGCTCAGCTAAGAGGATGCAAGGTTTTGCTCTTCCAGTTTCCTTCTTCCCACTGTTTGAAATGGAGATTCAATGGATGGTGCTCCAGCAGCCGTCTTGTGATTATGAGGCAACCCTGATGATGGAAAGTTCATCATAAGAAAGATGGAAGGAGCATGAGTTCCTGATGACCATGGAGCCAACATACGAGGCTTGAAATTCCTAATGCTGAGCTTTTTCCATGTGAGAAATATCTTGTGTTAGCCGCTGAGGCAAATCTAATCCTAAGGAGTAGAATTTACAAAGCTCAGTGTGGTCTGGCCTCTACTTCATGGCCTTCAACCATTCTCCTTTTGCTTTACTATGTTCCAGTCACATTGGCCTTCTTTCTGTTCCTTGAACATTCTACGCTTCCTCACACCTTGGAGCCCTTCTCCCAGATCTCTGCGGCTGCCTCCTTTTCATCTTTTGATGACTTCCTTGGAGAGGCCTTTACTGACTTACGTAGCTCCCTGGGTGGTCTGCTTTCCATTGACTTCCTTTTTAAAAAGTCAATGCACTTTTCACTCTTTGGAATATTTTCCTTTTAAAACATATTTATTGTCTGTTTCTCCCTTAGACTGTAAGTTCTATGAGGCCAGAGATTTTGACTGTCTTGTTCAATGCACTATCTCCTGGGCCTGGAATATGAGAGGTATTGAGGTATTTGTTAAATTAATGAGTGGAATAAGATGGCTTTCAGAGTTTTTGAAAAAAATGTATCTTAAGAGTTGCCATGCATCACAGGATCCCTTCCCACCGTATTTGAAAACAGTTCACCGAACCCCTGTGGCTCACCCGACGACTGCTGGGGTTAGTGACAGTCACAGAGAAGTGAGAGCATAGGTCTCTATCCCCCAGAGGCTCAGTGTCTGCAGGGCAAGGCAGATAATTTAGCTCACGTAGAGCGTCAAGCGTTGCCGTGCTGTGGTGGACTCTGCACGCTGCCAGGAGCACACAGAGGACTCGCCACAGGTTCTCTGATTTTAACGGAGGCAGGAGCTGATCGGGAGAAACTCCGTGGAGGCAGCGGTGTCTGAGCAAGTTTGGATAAAGCAGAGCGTCTTCCTGGCAGACAGGGCCCCGGGGAAGGGCGGGCTCACGGCAGGGGCGAGGAGATGAAGGGGTGAGGCGTGCAGTGTGACCAGTTGACCGGTTTGTCTGGGACTATCCCGGTTTTACCATGGAAAGTCCCACATCCCGGGAAATTCCTTTGCCCTAGGAAAGCCAGGGTGATTGGTTATTGTCGAGCTACCTGGCCTGTTAGGGTCACGAGAAGCTGGAGGAGAGAGCGAGGGAGCGAGTGGCTGGAGCTGAGGAAGGGGGTTCTTCCTCGAAAGCCGCAGAGGGGCTGGGTGAGAAGCCCGGAGGCATCACGAGGAATCTGAACTTTTTCCTTCATGGTGGGGAATTATTGAAAAAGAGCGCAGGCTAGGAGTGAGGTCGTAGAAAAGAGTTAACTATTAATTGAAGAGTGATTCTTCCTACTGGAACCTGCAAGGAACTGAGCTCTGCATGTTCCCTGGGGAAGGCCTGGCTGTCGCTGCCTCCAGCAGCACATCTGGTACCCCAAGGCAGGCGGGGACAGGCTCCCGCCTAAGGAAACAGCCCCTGCTGACCCCTGGCTCTTGGGTAGTCAGTCCAGAGGGGCATGTCCACACAGCCCCCTCCTTCCCAGGGCTGATGCTCCTGGTAGGTTTGGTTCTGGGAGGGTCCCCCCGACTTCTCAGCTGCTCATCTGGAACCTCCGATGGAGAATAGGCTGCCTCCCTCTTCCTGTCCAGTCCCATTCTGCAGTCCACATGTTCCCCATGGCTCCAGGGAAAGTCATTCCAGGGGAATTTGGGGATGTTTTCTTTCTGTGGCTGGGGGGATGCAGGAAAAGCAAGTGTGTCTGGGCAAGTCTGTGGTTCTCCAGCCCAGTGGGTCCAGTGGGGGCAGGGGGGTGAGGGCCATACTGCCAATGCTAAGGGCCTGTCTCTAACATCCGACATGCCCAGGGGAAACATGGCCCCAGTGCCAGACACCTGCCATTCTGGATTCTTCCTTCCCCTCTCTTCCTCATCCAATCACAAAGTCCTAGGAATTCTGCCTTCTAAGTCTCTCCTGAAGGCAGGAATAAATTTTTATAGGGCAGAAAAGGATCTTAATATTGCTTCTCTGGCTCTAAATCTCATTGGCAAAAGTGTCCTGAGCCTGCTCACTGTGTTCCTGAATTTTGGTGCCTTAGTCATATATCTACATACACACCAACACACAGATACACCCCCCCACCTCCCATACTAACACACACACACCACCACACCTGCACACTCCCCCACACCAACACACAGATACACCCCCACCTCCCATACTAACACACACACACCACCACACCTGCACACCCCACACACACCAACACACAGATACACCCCCACCTCCCATACTAACACACACACACCACTATACCTGCACACCCCACACACACCAACACACAGATACACCCCCCACCTCCCATACTAACACACACACACCACCACACCTGCACACACCAACACACATATACACCCCCTACCTCCCATACTAACACACACACACCACACCTACACACCCCACACACACCAACACACAGATACAACCCTGACACACACACTGTCACCCATACTAACACACACACCACCACCACCCATACTAACACCTGCACACACACACCAACACACATACACATACCCCCCACACCACCACCACTATCCGTACTAACACTTGCACACTCCATACACACACCCCAATACACACCCCCCAACACACATACACGCACACCCCACACAGATACCCCAACACATGCCCCAACACATATATATATAGCCCTCACTCCAATACATGCCCCTAACACACATATACACATGCCCCCCCACATACAAACCCCAACAATGTCCCTAACACACACACACACACATGCCCCCCAACACACCCCAACACATGCCCCCCAACACACATACACATACCCCACACATACACCCCAGCACGATACTCCAAAGTACACCACACACACACATATACCCTAACACTCACAGCACAACAGACACCAATGTGAACACTAATACACACACCTAATACACACATCTCAACACACACCCAAACACACACTCCAATACACACACCCAAGTATACACCCCAACACACACATAGACCAACACCCAACACACATACCCCTCAACACCGCCCCTCGCATTCACTCCTTTGAATTCAGGCCCTGCATTGGCCTTCTCAGGAGCACCACCATCCCATGTGCCCCAACTCAGGGGCTGGGCTCCAGTTTGGGTCCCCATTTCCTCCTCTCCATCTAAGATGCCTCAGGCAATCCTTTCCCAGGGCCTGGGGCCCTGTCCCTACACTCGGGCCTAAGAGCTGACCTGGAGACCTCCGCATCAGTCTGCTAGCCTCTACTTCCAGGGGTCAGCCATCTCTCAGGGCCCCCTTTAAATGGAGGCTGCCCCACTGGAGAGACCCTTGCTTCTCCAGGCCCCACTGGCCTGGACCAGGAGGGAAGATGGTGTCCTCTGCATCCTCATGGCTCCTTTCCCCTGGTGGTTTGCTCGCTCGTTCAGAGGCCACCCACATCCTGGCCCAGGTTGCCGGCTGCAGCGCCCTCACCAGGTCTCCTCCCTCTCGGGGACCCCTCTGCTGTACTCGGCATCCTTGGTCCCCGGGCTCCTGCAGCTGCTCTGGCTGGGGGACACCATCCTGTCCTGGCTTTTCTTCCACCTACCTGAGTGTTTCTTTTCTGTTCCCTTTCTTCTTTTTCTCTTGCTCCCTAACTGGATACTCACCCCATCTCAGCTGTAAATCTCTTTGATCGGTTAATATTAGATTTGGCTGCGTATAACAGAATTCCCCAAGCAACGGTGGCTTCAACTCTCAAGGTTTTCTCCTCTCGTGTAAGGGCAGAGCAGAGGAAGCAGCTCAGGGCTGCTGTGGGCTGGTGTGGCCCTGGGAAGTCACCATGACCCTGCTCCGGTCTTTCTGCTCTGCCATCCTGAGCCTGCTGTCTGGAAGGCCCTTGCCAGCCTCCCCTGCTCGACCCTGACAGCTCTGCCCTGCCTCCTCCAGGGCCGTTCCAGCCCTCTGTGCCCGCCCCTGCCAGCTCCCCTGGGGGCTCCCCAGTTCCCTCTATCCTCTGCAAATCCTGCAGTGCTGGGGGCTCTCCCACCCCCCTGCTCCTAACACAGTGCCTCCCGTGCGGCTGAGCACTTGCTGCCGAGGGACCGGGCCCTCCCTGCTAACTGAGCTGGTACAGCGCTCTGTTCCCACCAGGTCCTCTGTATAAATGCATTGTACAATGAATCAAAGGACACTTTTTGAACAATAGGTGGAGGCATCAGGAAGGGTTGGAAATGATGCTGAAGGACCCTGAACACAGAAGATGCCCTTGTGGCTGGAGAGTGTTAGTTATCCCCAGTCTGTCTGAGACTAGTGAAGGTGTCGAGTGTGTATATGTTTAATTAATGAAGGATGCTTGGTTAGCTGAGCTTAGGTAAGTGACAGTTTGACCACATTATTTACAGACACAAGCAATAACATAAGAGATGCTATAATAATGCATATTCTTGGCAGCTTATGACTAGCGACAGTGAATGTCAGTTGATGAGTGTTTTAGTACCTGAGTCCCTGATGAAAGCTGACACATTGGCAGCTCCTTGTTTTTATTTTTAATTAAGTTCCTTGCTCTGTGCTGTGATGTCTGAACCAGAAGGAAGTTATGGGGGTATAAGAAGTGTTAGACACTCTACAGGAGACGAAGTTCAAATGGAAGTTTAATGTTTCATATTTCTTCATCCTAAAGATGCTTATTCCTTATCTATCCATCTTTCTTTTTCTTTTTCCTTTTCTGGAAAGGTGGAGAAGGGCAAATCCTTAAATCCCCAGCTTGAGACCAACTTGCATGAAAGAACTCTGGGCAGACAGGCCCCGCTTGCAGTGGGAGCCCTGGGGACGCTGCCCGTCAGCCTGGGCTCTGCTCGCGGTTCTATTGGCGGCACGAGTGTAGACTGACTCTGCGAATCTTTTACCACCTTACAGAGCACCAGTGCACAATAGGTCTTTGTCCTTCAATAAGCCAGAACTAAAACACTCTACCCTCTTCACAGTGGGGTCTCCTAATTAGATATAAAAACATTTATCCATCAAGCAAAAATCGGATCCTTCCCTTTTCATGCATTTTTTTTTCTCCAGCATTTCAACCCATAAGCTAACGTCTGGGAGAGGGAAGGCACTGAGAAGGCTGGAATGCTCGGCCATGCTCAGCCCACGGAGGTGTGGAGAAATGCCACCTTTCTCAGATTAGCCCCGGCTCACTGGGCCCTGGGCCCTGGGGGTGGGGAACCCCAGGGAAGACTGGGGAGAGCAGTGGGAACAGGTGTGCCCGCCCAATGCCCAGCCCTAAGCCTGCCTCTGGGGCTGGGCCGGAGGGGATGGGCTGAAAATGGAGAGTACTTGAAATTAACACAGCTTTATGAGCCAGTCAATGGGCCTGCGCTGTGGGGAGACTGAGCTGGGAGTGGCTCTGGTTTTTCCTCTTCTTTAACCACAATGGTTCCTCCAGCAGAACTCCCTTCAATGGCAAGATAGGGATCTGTTTCCTGGCTGTGAAAATTCAATTAGATTCTTAAGTGACAAAGCGGAGAACATGAGAGAAGCGTAACATCGTGGTGGCTCTTTCTAAGCTACTTGACTGTGGGGGCCTCCCAGGCATTGATTGGTAGGAATCTGGAGCCCTCAGGTACCCTGCGGGGTGGACTGGGAATAGAGGTCCTCAGCTTTCAGAGACATCCATAGACTAACACATTCACTGGTTTTGTTTAAAAAGCAAGAAGATGTCTATACCTGTTTACAAGAGTAATTTCCTTGTTTTTTCTGTGTTGTCCCTGTCACACATTAGAACCTGAGAAATGCTATCTTGGGTCGGCTGTGCATTCGTCTTGACTGGCGGCTCACTGGACAGACAGGTCACTTTCCATCCTCCACAGTGTAGATGCAAAGGCCAGCTCTGAAGTTCAAGAACGCTGAGGACTGAGGAACAGTATTTAAGAGGACTTTGGTGCTTGGACACAAGTTTTCCCAGAGTAGACACAGTCGGGTTTGGAGACACAAAGCAAAGAAACCTTTGAAATGCTCTACTTTTCCTTTGTTAGTTGCAAAATAACCAGCTCTTTGGGCTCTCACCACTCACGGGCATCTGGGAGCAGCATATGGGATTGCTCACGGCAGCAATGGGGTGAGGGAGGTCCTCGACTCTTCTGCTCAGCCCTCCTGTCTCCCATTAGCTGCCCAGCCTGCTGCCTGTGGGCCCGCACCACCACCTTACCTCTGACCCTCAGCTCCTCCCCGATGGGCTGGATCTCAGCCTCTACAACTTTGCCAAGATCCTCCTACAATACTCTTGCAAGGGGTCACATGCCCTCCTGACCTTAATGCCCCTTTCTGGCCTAGCTACACTGGACCTGCCCTTATTCCTCACCCAGATGACATCCCTCTCTCTTGTCCACCGGGAAAACACCTCCTCATGTTTCAAGGCTCAGTTCACATCCAGCTTCCTCTGAGACTCCCGGCAGATGTAGGTGTTCCTTCTGCTCGCGCCCACACACTGCACCATCCCAGTGGGTCCCAGGCCGTACCTGTTCGTGTTCGGTCTCCCCTGTAGACTGCGGGGTGCGGGTGATAAGGGTCAGGGCCTTTGACTCATGCGTCGCTGTATCCCCAGCAGCTAGGTCAACGTGGTTATGGAATGAATGGGAAGGAATCCTGTGCCAGGAATAGTTTGTGCTTAGCAATTTGAGGTGGGACACTAACCAAATGCTGTATTTAGCGCCTCTATTGTTCTAGAAAATATACCAACTTGGACAAGCCATCCCTATGGGGCCTGCTATCGAAATATTTTCCGAGCATTGAAAACATGTTAAATGCCACTCTCACACCGCCTCTGGGACCCCGGCCCCCAGCCCTTGCCCAGCGACATGGAAGAGGGCTCCCCCAGGTCCTCTCAAGCTGGCTGCTTCCCAGCATCTTGGTCTTACTGAGAGTGGGGCCAGGAACACAGTGATTTGTAGGGTTCTTGCTAACAAATGATAGATGTCAGAGGTTTGGGAGCTAAGGGAGTCAGCTCAAAAGGAATGACTAGATGAGAAGCCCTACGAGATGTCTGGTGTTAAAGCCTGGTTTAGGAATAGCCTGGGAGCACGTGAAGGGCTGATGTGCCCATGTCAGCATGCTACGCCTCGGGGCAGGCAGGAGTGGAGCATGCACGTGGCTGCTTGCCGTGCGGATGGAGTGGAACTCAGGCGTCTGCGTCTGAACCCCAGGCCCACTGACCAAGTCATGCTCGGGCGCCTCAGCTCCTTCAGGAGATGAAGTAAGTTCAGTTTGGAGGCCTTCCCTTAGCAGGCACGCTGGCGGCTGCTGGGCAGCCTCAGGGGAACAGCATGAACGGCTCAGCCCTACAGCTCACAAGTTGTAGAGATGACAGGCCTCCTTGCCGAGGTCACGGCAAGACTTAAGGATGTGGAGGGGTGCCAGGGCCCTTGAAAGGTGGGCACCATCCGGCTGCCCTGCTGAGAAATGTGGGGCTGTTTTATCAGAATAACCCTCCCCCATCCACTCTCTCATCAAGGACTTGCCTCCGTGACCTCGAAGGCATGAGGTGGCCTTGGGGCAACCCGTGGGGGCTCTGTGCTGGCGTCTGTGCTTTTACAAAGGTCAGCATGGCCCCTTGCCCCTTGGGTCCCACTTTGGCCAGGTCCTGCTTCACACTTGGCTCCAGGCTTGTCCCTCTCCTGTGCCTTGGGTTGCCCGGTAGGCAAGACATCTCTGATTTGGCATGCAGCCCCTTCTATGCAGACAGGGAGCTGCTCTGGAGAGGTGTGACGCGTGACGGTGACATTTGACAGCAGTGCAGAGGTGAGCACCGGGTCCCTGAGCCCAGCTCTGCCAAAGGCCTTCTCCAGCCCCCGCCCCGAGCGCCACTGCTGTGAAGGACTTCTCACCCCCACACTCTGCAGGGGCTATGTGTCCGAGACCTGTGCCTGAGTTCTCAATTCTGCCAGCAAATGAACCCTAAGGCTCATTTGTATGGTTTGCTTTGTCACTTTTGGACATTTTCATCATCCTCAAATTGAAACTTCGCTATGGGTTATGCAAAAAAATATGTTGTGAGAGCAAGGACTCTGAGCTCTGCAGAGGAAGCCTTCTCCATATTCTGTGTGCCTGTATCCATAACGTCGCCATGTCTTCTTCTTGCCTTCCCCATTGGGCCCGAGTTCCTTGATGATGGTAAGGAGCCAGCCTTCCGTGTGGGGGCGGCCTGGTCCTGCAGCCCGTGTGGAGGGCGTTGGCTGCAGCATTGATGTGCGTTATTGTATTCAAAACTGACAGGCACAGTCACATCCCTGGCTCAGATTGAAGGCTGAGGTCACCAGTACAAGGAGAACTGAGCCCAGTGCTAAATGAGGCTTTGAAGCAACAGGAACAGGTCCTTACCCTCAGGAGGGGATGGGGGCCCCCCACAAAGCACAAGGTGATCTGGAGGAACTCAATTTACACCCTTGGCTCTGCGGGCTCGGGGATCAGCAGAGGGCGGGATAATCCCAGCTTCTCGAGCAGATGGTTTCTGACTACCGCTTGACCCAGTTCCCTCCCAGCAGATGACCGGCAGTGGGGCTGACAGGGAAGCAAAATGTGGACCCTCCCCTCAACTCCTCTTCCCTCCTCCTAGCAGCAAGGGCACAGTGGCTTTTGCTTCTCCCCAGTGCCAAGTCAATAGGCAGGATGCTGTAGCTTCCCACAGACATTCAGAGCTCCCTCCCTTCCCCGAGCCCTATCCAGCCCGGGGGAACTCACGGCAGGAAGGGTTGTATGTGGGCAAGCAAGGAAGCTACTATGAGGGCTGGTGTGGGGGCAGTGGGGAGCATTAAACCCTTCACTGGCTCACGACTTCTCTCATTCATTCATTCATTCAATCAATCAATCAACCAAGCACTTATTCATTAAGCTCCCCAGATCATCTGCCAGGTGTGGCATCAGACAGGGCCCAGAAAGCCTGGTCCTTGCCCTCCCAGAGCCTGAGGCCCCCGCAGGAGACAGACACCTGAAGAGATAACAGCCAGGCACTGGGCTGAGGGGCCTAATCTGGCAAATAACTATTCAGGGCACAAGAAGGCCATGATGGCCTCCACCAAGGAGCAGACATTGGGCTGGGTCTCGAAGACTGAGAATGAGTTTGCCAAGTGGTTGGTGGCTGTAGTGACGGAAAGAGCCAGAAGACCAGAGCATGTGTGCTTGGTGGAACATGCAAGCAAAACCAGAGAGGTGGGTCCAGCCTGGCCCAGGGCCACCACACAGAAGGTGCTGGCCCAGTCCGTCCAGGAGGCAGCAGCACCTCCTTCCTGCCCAGGGATCACAGGCTCAGGGACAGGGCGAGGGGTGGAAACCGGAGGGCACAGAGCAGTGTGTCTGGGGGCTGGGAGAGAATTGAGCTCTGGAGAAAGCCCTAAGGAGGCTGAAGGGCTGCCAAATCCAGGACCCTCCTGGGCCCCTGCTTCTGACTTCAGGTCGGTAAACCCAGACCAGCTCCATTTTTGCCCCGCGGGAGCAACTCGGGCGCCTTCTGGTTGGTTCCTCGGATTGGGAGGGAGGGGGCGCTCGACCTCCAGACTTGCGGGCCTCGGCGGGGCTGCGGTCCGCGCTGAGCTCCACAGTGGCGCCGGCTGGCCCGAGAAGCTCGCTGTTGGGGGCGGGGTTGGGGGGAGGCCACGCTCCACCTGGGTCGTCCTGGGTTCCCCAATATCCTAGGAAAGCCAGAATGACCTCTCACTCCGCTTCCGCCTCGCAGTCCCGCCTGTTGCGGGGCGCGGCCGAGGTGGGTGGGGGTCTGGACCAGCGAGAGGAGAGGGTAGGGCCGTGTTCCTGGCCAGGGGCGCTGCACCCTGTAGGCATTGCCGTGCTGCTCCACACCCAGCTGGGGGCGAGAGGAGGCACAGAAGAAACGGATTGCACTCGGGGTTCTGGACGGGGCTGGGAGTTCGGTTTCCATGGACAGCGCCTCTTCTCTGGCAGCCCAAGAACAGCGGCCTTGGAATCAGATGACTGGGTTCCATGAGGAGTTTTTAGCCAGGTTGCCTTGTTTGGGGCTCCCAACCAAGGTGCTATTGTCCCCCCCTCTCCAGATGAGGAGGTAGAGACCAGAAAGAGTGAAGACTCTACCCAAGGTCACTGCTACAAAGCTGGCAGTGGATGAGCCTCGACTGGCACCCGGGTTTTTCTGAGGCCAAGGTTTGCCAACTGGGGGGGGGGGGGGGGGGGGCTGCTGGACACCTCGCCAGCCCGGCAAGTCCTGGGGCTCAGAGGCCTCCCTGCCGCGAGGCTGGTTCCCCGCACCATCGAGGAGTTCCTCTGGGCTCAGAACCTGCGGAGGCAGCGCCTGGCCAGGCCTCCAGCGGCCGCCGCCTCCGGCGCCCCTCCAGCCCGCGGGGCCCACGCCTCGCCCAGCGCGCCCGGGGCGCCCGGCTAGGGCACTGCAGCCCGGGAGCAACATCCACGGGCGGAGCCAGCCCGCGGCGCCCGAGGCTGTATCGCCGCCCCCGCCTCGCCAGGCCGGCGAGGGAGCACCCCGGGAGGGCCGGGGGCGGCCACGGCGGCGGTGAGAGTTGCCACTGCTGGTCGGGGAGGGCGGCGGCAGGGATGAGGGCAGGGCCTGTGAGGCTGCGGGGAGGGGTCAAGCGCCAGGATCCGGGGCCGGGAGCCGGTCAGTGCCGCCCAGCGCCCAGCTGGGCGAGGGTCCGGAGCGCCCACGTGGTGGGAAAGTTTCGAGACAGCAAAAGTGGCCCGGCATTGCGGGGGTGGGGGGGAGGGGACAGGGCCAGCCCGCCCCTTCTCGCAGAGGCAGAGAGGAAAAAAGCCGAGCGAAGCGGGGGTGGGCGGGGGGAGCAGGCAGCACCGACCTGAACAGATTCCGCCCCCCCCCCCGCGGCCCCCCCGCCCCGGGAAGCCGGAGCGGGGAGGCACGGACAGTCTCCTCCCGCATGGCCAGGACAAGACTCGCTCACCCCTCCTTTTTTTTTCTCCTGCCAACGTCTATCTCAACGCGCGCGCACATACGGAGATTGTGCGGCTTTTTTTCCCCCTTGGGAGAAAAAACGAGGAGAGTAAAGGAAGAGGGCAAACAGAAGAACTCCTCCTCGGCGGGCTCTGCACTCTGTGTCGCGGCCGGGCGCGGGGACGCAGCCTCCACCCGCCCGCTCTCTCCCGGTCCTGCGGCTTGTGCCAGCGGGGGAGCGAGCTAGGGCACCGCACCCGGGGACGCTGCGAGACTTTTCGGCGCTCCAGCCGACATCGCCGCCGCCGCGGCAGGCGAAGAGACAGGGGCGAGAAGGGCCCTGCCTCCGCCTCGCCTTCCTCGCCCGGCGCCCCGCGCCCCGCCGGCCCCCACAGGCAGGCAGGCAGGCGGAGGGAGGGAGGCAGCAAGGAGGCGGGCGGAGCAGAGGCCCCGGCGAAGCGCGCAGCGGCCGGCCCGCCCGCCGGTGGATGCGGCGGCGCCCCGGGAGCCTGGAGACAACTTTGCCGTGTGACGCGCAGGGAGGACTGCAGGGCCCGCGACCGGGGACTCCGCGCCGCCTCTGAGCCGGCCCGCGTCCCCCAGCGCTCCCAGCACTGCGCTCGCTCGCCGGCCCGCGGCGAGGACGACCCGCCCGTCGCCGGCCCTTCCTCGGCGCAAGGCGGCGAGGGCGAGGCGCTCAGGTGCCAGCGCGGGGCCCCGCCGCAGCGCCCGCCGCAGCGCCGCGCCAAGCCGCGCTCGGCTTCGCTCCGGGAGCTCCGGAGCCTTCGCTTCCGTCTCGGCCAAGTTGCGTCGACCGGTCCTTTCGCCACCTTCCCCGCCCGGCGGCCAAGCCGCTGCTGCCGCTGCTTTCACTTCGCCCGGGCGGGGGCTGCGGGGCCCCGACGCGGAGAGGATGGGGAGAAGGCTGCAGATGCCGAGGCGCCCCGAGACGCCCGTGCGGCAGTGACCCGCCGACCCCCGCCTCGCCCCACGCACCTCTGCGGCCTCCGCGGCCCTCGGCGCCCCTTCCCCGCCGCGCGGGAACCCCCGCGACCCAGCCGGCCCCCTCCCCCTGCGAGCCCGCGGCGGCCCTCTCGGCGGGCGGGCGGAGGCCCGGGCGGGCGCGGGCGGGGGCGGGGCGGGGCTGCGCGCCGGGAGCCCGGAGCCCGGCCCTGCGCTCGGCTCGGCTCGCCTCACGGCGGGCACCCTCGTCGCCAGCGGCGCACCATGGACGGGCTGCCCGGTCGGGCGCTGGGGGCCGCCTGCCTTCTGCTGCTGGCGGCCGGGTGGCTGGGGCCCGAGGCCTGGGGCTCGCCCACACCGCCGCCGTCGCCCGCCGCCCCGCCGCCTCCCCCGCCACCCGGAGCCCCCGGCGGCTCGCAGGACACCTGCACGTCGTGCGGCGGCTTCCGGCGGCCGGAGGAGCTGGGCCGGGTGGACCGCGACTTCCTGGAGGCGGTGAAGCGGCACATCTTGAGCCGCCTGCAGATGCGGGGCCGGCCCAACATCACGCACGCCGTGCCCAAGGCCGCCATGGTCACTGCCCTGCGCAAGCTGCACGCAGGCAAGGTGCGCGAGGACGGCCGCGTGGAGATCCCGCACCTCGACGGCCACGCCAGCCCGGGCGCCGACGGCCAGGAGCGCGTCTCGGAAATCATCAGCTTCGCCGAGACAGGTGGGTCGGTCCCCCGGGCGGCCAGCCGTGGCCCTCGCTCCCTCCCCCACCCCCTTCTCCTCGCCTGCTCCGGCCGCCGCAGGCAGCGCGCCCTGGGAGCAACCTGGACTCCCGGCCCGGCTTCTTGCCCCCGGCCCTGTGCGCTTCGTCTCGGTTGCCGTCGTCTTCTCTTAGACAGCAGACCCCTCCCTCCTTCCTCCTACCCCCGCCGCTGTGCGCCTTGCCTTCCACCCCTGCCCTCCAGAATTCGGCCCCAGCGCCTCTGAGCGCGCGTCCCCCTCCCGGCAGATGCGTGCGGCCCTGGCTCTGCGGGCACTTGCTTGATGATTGCTTAATGTTTTTGTTTCCCACGACCAGAGTGTAGGTTTAGCAGTGTGGATGGGGATGTGTGTGCTTGTTGACATCCGTGGGCCGGAGGAGTATGTGTGTGTGTGTGTGTGTGTGTGTGTGTGCGCGCGCGCGCGCGCCTGCATGAGAGGCCCCGGGGCCGCTTCCATCGCGGGGCGGCGTGGGCTTGCCAGGATTGCTGAAGCCTCACTGGGGAGAGCTAGGCAACCTCTCTTCCGATTGTGTGGGCACCGGAATCGGGCGGAAGGCGGGCTTCTCAACAGGTCCCATCATTTACGCAGAGAAAGACGCGGCTCGGGGGCAGCCCCGTGCCTCTGGGCTCGCTTGGCAGCGGCAGCAGCCCCTCGCCTGAGAGCCGCAGAGTTCGTAGTTAACAAAGGATAGGAGTCCTTTCTGGAATTTTCCCCCGCTTTGGATAGCAAATTTCTACCGCTGGCTAAATATAAAAATCGAGAGGAAAGATTTTTCGGAACTTTAAAAGAAGGCGAAAAATGTGCCTGCGCTGAAATGCTGCAAGTGCTTTCGACTCCGCTGTCCTTTTCAGGACTTGAATGAGCCAGGCTGGCTTTTGTGCCTGGAGCTCAGCCCCATTTGTGCCGAGGGGACTGCAGAGAAGGTCGCAGAGGGGGAAGCCCTGGTGCAGGCAGGGCGGGGGTGGGCAGGGAGCCTGGAGGGGGAATGGTTGTGTCCCCAGGCTGTAAATGCCCCCCACCCTCGCAGGCAGCGGGCAGACTGTGCTGGTGCCGCCTGGGGTTGAAAAGGGATGAAAAGTTTTGCATGGCCGGGTGTGGAGAAAAGCAGAGACAATCAGGGGCTGGTTTGTGCTGAGAAAGAAATGCATTGCCGTTTTAGCTGTCCGACAGAGTCAGGGAGAGCTCGACATGCAATTAGAGAGCTTGGATTAAAAGGTGCATTGGGGCCCAGAGTAGAAATGTGATTCTGGAAGGTCGAGGAGGCCTTTTGGTCCTGGTGGCACAAAATGACAGCGGGGGCTGTTATATTTCTGGTCCATTTCACGGAGCCAGCTCTTTGACTTATAAATAACAGATTCAGGTCACAGGCAGCTCGTCCAAGACCAGCTTTTAAGGTTGCACTTTCCCCCATTTCAAAGTCAGATGTCAGTGTTGTTAGAGGAGCCAGGCGAGGCCTGAGGAGGGGGCTGGAGGGGCAGTGGTAGAAGGTTTGATAAAACCAGCCGTGGCCACACGGTTGCCTTGTTTGTTCTTCCTGCAAAAAAAAAAAGAAAGAAAAAAGTAGAGATTGTCAGAGAGAAGAGTCACTGAAACGTAGGATGAGAGGGGAGTCGCTTCTGGGTTGGCATGGCCTTTCTTGTTGAGCTGAATTATTGAGAAAACTAACGAGCCAGTTCCCCTTTTCCTTGGAGATTTTGAACATGCCATGAACAGGGAGCCAGGGTCTCGGCAAAGGAGTGGACCTCAAGTTTCAATGCTGTGTGTCCTGTCCTTTGGAACTACTCAGAAAGGAGGGCTGCTCTTTGCAGCCTGCAGAGCACAAGCTCGTGTGTCAGAAATCTGAGCGGAGCTCGTTGTTTGCAGTGGAGGTTCCACTGGGGGTTGGATCAGATCATGCTTAGGTAAACACTGGAAAGAGGCGGTAGTTGGCTCAGCTCGATTTTGCAATGCCCTGAGTTAACCAAAAAAAAAAAAAAAAAAATCCTCTTTTGAAACATCCCACCTCAAAATCTTCGGTGCGATCCCGGTTTTGTTTTTCAGATTTCACAGATACCCATAACAACTTGTTAAGATCTTGGCTTCCTGACAACTTCCTCTGTTGAGCTCTGAGGCTTGACAGTCTGTCTCCAGGGAGCCCTGGCCTGGGAGAGGTGAGGCAGGATCTTATAGGCCTGGACACTCCAGCTCCAGCCTGGGCTGTGTTTCTCAATGGGAAAAGATTTCTCTGCCTCTCCCAGGTTACAGTCCCAGGCCCCGGCCCCAGGAGCAGTGTTTCTGGTCAATAACTTCTTCCAGCTGCGTGGCGAGTTCGCATTCCAGCATCGTGCAGCAGAGAGTCTGTTCCCCCACTGCCTCGTGTTCTCCTTGAATTAACTTGGCCTGCTCTCCCGCTTCTCCGCAGATGGCCTTGCCTCCTCCCGGGTCCGCCTGTATTTCTTCATCTCCAATGAAGGCAACCAGAATCTGTTTGTGGTGCAGGCCAGTCTATGGCTTTACCTGAAGCTTCTGCCCTACGTCCTGGAGAAGGGCAGTCGGCGGAAGGTGCGGGTCAAGGTGTACTTCCAGGAGCAGGGCCACGGAGATCGGTGGAACGTGGTAGAGAAGAAGGTGGACCTCAAGCGCAGTGGCTGGCACACCTTCCCGCTCACCGAGGCCATCCAGGCCTTGTTCGAGCGGGGCGAGCGGCGACTCAACCTGGACGTGCAGTGCGACGGCTGCCAGGAGCTGGCCGTGGTGCCTGTATTCGTGGACCCCGGCGAGGAGTCGCACCGTCCCTTCGTGGTTGTGCAGGCGAGGCTGGGTGACAGTAGGCACCGCATTCGCAAGCGGGGCCTGGAGTGTGATGGCCGGACCAACCTCTGTTGCAGGCAACAGTTCTTCATCGACTTCCGCCTCATCGGCTGGAACGACTGGATCATCGCACCCATCGGCTACTACGGGAACTACTGTGAGGGCAGCTGCCCGGCCTACCTGGCCGGAGTCCCTGGCTCCGCTTCCTCCTTCCACACGGCTGTGGTCAACCAGTACCGCATGCGGGGCCTGAATCCCGGCACAGTGAACTCCTGCTGCATCCCCACCAAGCTCAGCACCATGTCCATGCTCTACTTTGATGACGAGTACAACATTGTCAAGCGGGACGTGCCCAATATGATCGTGGAGGAGTGCGGCTGTGCCTGACGACAGGGCTGCAGCGGTGGGGCGCGAGGACGGTCCCGGACGGGCTTCTTCCATCCCATGTGCGAATGGGGCGCATGGTGGGCTGAGTGTAGTCATTCCATTGGGCTGCCCAGAAGCTGCCAGGGTGAGACCTGCAATATTTTCCTACTGCTTCATGGAGTAATCAGTCAAAAGCAGAATGAGAACCCGCAACTGA